TTTTGTTGCTGCCCGCTGCATGCCACCTCTCGGGGTTCCACACCCCGTCCTTGAGGTAGGCCCTAGAAATATTGCTGGGCCAGGCCTGCGCGAGGGGTGAATCGCGCAGGGCCAACAGGACCGTCCTAGAATGCATAGGTCCGGCGAAGGGAGTCCGTGGCACAGAGGGGAGACGAATTGGTGGATCTCAGGTCTTCTGGCCGAAGCCGGGGAGACAAAGAGTCTGACCTCGGGGGTAGTCCTTAAGTCCTCCCGAACCACCAAAGGCCGCTGGAGGGGCCATCGGGGCCACCGGGACTGCTAGAGGAGCCGCCCGAAGGCCACCGAGGCCAGAATGGATTGCCAAAGGGGCCGTTGGGAGGGCCATCGGGGCCACTGGTCCATATCTCTTTGCTATTAATAAACTGTCAGTGTAGAGATACTTTCAAGGATGCACCTCAATAACCAAATTTATAACACCAATAAATATAGAGCTTTACTACTCATCACCATGTTTCATTTTTTTGGATGAAAACAGATCTTAACTTAATCTAGATCTAATTCTCAATAAAATGGTAAACCTGGATCTGGGCTGGACTAATTCTTTTGTTGGTGAGGGAGCTTAAGTATTTGAATTCTCCAATGGAGGAAATATATCTCAGTATGACAGCAAAAGTTAAGATTATTTTAACCTAACTTCGTTGAATGTACTAATTTTATGAGTGGGGAATTCAGTTCTATATTGCCTCAGCAATCCTTTAAAAAAACAAATTCATATATAAATTGATTTTTCTGAGGTCATTATCATATATGTTATCTGACAACTTCAGATAATGTACAATTTGGATGGTTTCAAAGGACACATTTTTCAATAAACATTATTTTGACTGTTGATCTGTAATGAAGTTTTAGGCATTCAATCTTGGATGAATTATATAGAATAGATTATGGAAAGAATTAAAATGATGAAATAGATTTAAGCCTTTATACAATTAATTCATTAAAAATATATGTTCAATGCTATTATGACAAGAATTAGGTAATCACTATTGAACATTGGATATTTTGTGATAATTTTGGGAAGATTAAGTGGGACCTTAAATACTATGACATTATAAAATAAAAATCTGTCAAAGAAATGTGCTGTATCAGGATATCTTCAGTATTTAAAGATTAAAATCTTTATTGCACTATAGAAATGTAGAACATGTATAATTTGTAGTGCCATAATAACTCAAGTATGTCATATATTTACAAGCAAAATAATTTATTTAAATAGCTGCTCTACAGACAATAGGAATGTTTTCTCAAATTCTTGATCAGCAAACCTCTTCACAGATTCACGGGCACTTTGTCTGATCTGCAGCTTTTTGGCAGGAGATAATGAAAAGATATGAGCCATAGAGTCTGCATAGCCATCTTCATCTTCTGCTAGAAATCCAGTAGTATTTCTTTCATAGGGTACCACAATATCTAATTTTGGGCCTCCAGAATTGTGAGCAAGAATAATTGTGCCAGCTGCCATACATTCAACAATTCCTATAAAAGACATAGAACAGATTGCTGTTAATACTGTGGTTCTTTCATTCTTTCTTAATCTTTATTGCAACTTTGCATAGAAAGAAAAGGCACAATTTAGACTCTTATCTTTTCTGATTTTAAAGTAGCACATATCCCTCTTGCACCAGAAAAGTGGTGCAAATTTGAAAACAGCCAGGTAAAGAATGCTTTCTAAAAAGTAGTCATCAGAGTACATTTCTGTTTGTCCTAAGATTCAAGTCCTGATCCTGCAGTCACAAAATCCAAGTAAATTACTCAGAGGAAATTTAAAGACATGGTCTCCTTGACTGGCAGCTCTTGCTTCAACAGTAAGAGGAGACCATGGGCAAAAGAAGCTTTATCCAGCTTTGGCTGGTGCAACATTTACAGTCCTATCTGAAGAACAATGCCTTAGCAACAGTAACTCCTGCACTCTGTAGCAGGCTACCTTTGAAGACAACACAGAAGCTACAAGAGATACAGAATGTACTGTAGTGTCTACATTGAGTAGAAGAACTTGGTAGGCAGAGTAACACTATTTTGAGGCCCTACTATTGGTTGCTAATAAGCCTGAGTTCAGTTCAAATGTACTGTTGCTAATAAGCCTGAGTTCAATTCAAATGTACAATTCAAATGTACTCTTATATGAACATTGTGTTCATATACTGAATTGATGTAATATTGGTTACTTCTCAGTTTGCACAATTAGGGCAGGTTATAGATACTATTAAATAAATGTCAGAGAAATATTCAATATGTTGCAGCATACTAGTGTACCTCTCCTATCAAATATTTCACTGTTATGGGTTTCTGAAACAATTGCCTCTTACTTGTTGATCTTTATGTCTTATTTAAAATTCCTAAGTATTCAGTTTCAGTATTTAAGAGAGTTGACAATTTGGCCATGAATATCAAAAATATTAAACAAATTTCAGAGTTAATCATGTATAATGTTTATGACATTATGTGAATCATAACAAGTATTATTCGCTACTTTTTAGAACTATGAGTGAAGAGAGAAAACCTGAGATAATCACATAAAATCTTGATGAGAATACAGTATCTGGTTATTAATAGCAAGTATTCATGGCAGTTTATATACAAGGACCATTCTAGGTCAGGCAGTATAGTGAATCACCATGCCAATTTGAGGTAATATTGAGGAGAGTATGCCACTTTTTGATCTGAAAATGCAAATTAAATCTTAATTACACAATCTATTTTACTGACCCTTTAAAAGATTCTTCGTCAAATATCTTGTATGTGTTTTTATGGATGGTTAAGGTTTTACAAGTAAGGTGTACCACACTTCAGGTTATCAACGTAGTCGGTCTACGGAGAAATCAAGAAGCTTACCTTATAATTAAAACTTAAGGTGGAAAAAAAGTTACGGATTGAGATCTGTCTCGAAGAATTCAAGTAAATGTGCGTGGTCATCTTCTAGGTTACGACAGCCCCCAATCAAAATAAGCTTTGGCAATAGTTGCTGTCCTTCAGTTTTTGCCAACAATTTAGCAAAGGCTCTAATCTGCAGGGAGTGATCTTTCTCTGGCCTGAATTGGCTTATAGAAACAATTGTTGGTTTTATAATCCTGCTTTCTTCTTGTAGTGGAATATCCAGGAAAGTCTGTACATCACAAGGTGGATACACAATGCTTGTGCGGTCGCTACACCTCCAGAGGGAAAGAATGTGATTGAGAGTCCATGTAGAATTAACCATGACAGTGTCACTACAAGAACCAACTAATCCATATATGGAAGCAAAAAAGTAATAATATACAAGTTTCATTTTACTTAAAAGGGGATTTTTTGTGATAACGGCTGCATTATTAAATTGCGCATGCTGATTTCTGACCACGGAAAGCATATCAGTACTGATTGTAGGATAGTGAACATAACATCCTATTCTGCAACCTCCCAGATATTTAAAGAGAGGAAGTGTGAATGCATAACCCATGGAGTCAATGTAAATATCTGGGATACACTTTGTAAGAGCTTCCCAGCCAAGAAACAGAGATCCTAAGCTCTGACCCAACAGAGTGAAATATGGATAACGGGAAGCTTCTACTAAGCCGCGCCTATTCAAGAACACAAACTTCACAGGGTATTTCAGTCTGATGTTGAATCGCCTGTATGCACCTTCAAGAATATTCTCAGCTGTAGCACCAGTATCACCCGTGTAGACAATATAGGAGGCATCCTTGTACCTGGAAATAAAAAGTTTTCCTATTAAAATATTTCAAATGCAGACAACATTTTGTTCTCTTTTCGGCCAATTTTAAATCCACAGCTTAATGCTGTATAATATCTGGATATTTAAAAAGTCACTCCCAAAAGCTTTCCCTATCAAGCTCTGGAGAAGCTCCCCCCCCCTCAAAAAAAAAAAAAACAAATGAAGGGACTACACAAATGAACTTATGAGTAATTAATCTAAGTAGCTCCCAACTACAAATATCCCTCGTCGATTGCTATTCTTTTTATTTACAAATCTTTTAAATGAGGAAATATGATTAATAATACTGTCACTCTACCCCCCCATAGCATAGTTCTATAGTTGGGTTCTTAAGAAGAAATTATATGCTGTATCAGCTCCAATCCATTTTAGGGCATCACACAAGTTTTTATAAGGCCCACCTCACAGAAGAGATAGAGACAGACAGACAAATGTTTGTAAGTGTGTATGTTCTAAATTATATTTCAATCATATATGTTAAAATAAATTCTAAATTAGGTTTGTGACAATGTATACCTAAGCATGGTCTACTTAGGGTTTTTCCTTAAATGTATTCACTGTTGTCTGAGAATGGCCCCATGTGATATACTACTAAAATGCTCATTGTCGTGACCTTTAACTGGGTGAAATAATGGTAATTGCTGTATAAAAGCCACCATGGGACATTGATGGGTTACAACAGCTTTGAGGGAGATTTCCCATTGTCACTCAAAATAAACTTTTGTTTTCAATTTCTACTTCAGTGTTGGGCATGGGCACACGAGGCAATGAACTTAGTGTTGGGCTGGGACAGCAATAGGGCAACCAGTTTTTAATCAAGGTACCTCAAATGGGCTAACTTACAAATTGTGTCCAAAATCTGGGACCCATGGCTCTCAAGGGAATGAAATTTGGGGAAGTTTTGGCTGCTTCAGTGCTGCTACTGCATGGCTGTTGCGGTCACATGATCTTCATTTTCAATGTTCTGTGACAGTTTCTCAACCAGCTCACAATCCCTCGTTCCCTTTCCCATCCAGCATCAGTCACTTAGTTGCCTGGAGGGGAGGGGAGATTTCCAATGCTCCTTGCCAGATTCCCACAAGAAGTCAGAAGTCACTTTTACACCCACTGGTTGTTTTTTTTTTGCCTGCCCTTGGTCGTTCTATTTCTCTATTTAGGTAAGGAAATGTGTTTGAAACAATGACCCAACAGGGTGTGAGTTGTCTAGTTAATTATATACATTTGATTCAAAACTGAACTACTCTTCAATATCTTCATCAGTATTCTTCAATATCTTCATCAATGATTTAGACAAGGGGCTAGAAGGGGAACTCATCAAATTTGCAGATGACACCAAGCTGGCAGGAATAGCCAATAGTCCAGAAGATAGGCTCCAAATACAAAAGATACAATAATACATACAGCTAAGCATGAAAATGTGTTTACTTACTTTTTCTGTAAAGCTCTCAAAGCACACCATAGCACTCTTTCTCCACCACCACCAGCATTACAATATGGATGGAAAAATGCAACTACAAGTGGCCTTTTCCCATCATTCTCTGGAGGCATTAGCAGATTTCTCTGTCGTTGAAGCCAGAATCGTAAACCATAGAGTAGAAGCAACAGACAGAGAAATAAACCTCCACTTAATATCATGGCAGGTATAAACAATGAATAGAGCAATCTGGAGAAGAAAAAAAAAAGATGGAACATTGAAATATAGCCTTAACATGCCATACTGAGCTCTGGAAACTATTCAGAAACTTAGAAAAGATAAACAATGCTTGAAATGGTTGTATTCTCATTCATAACATACATTAATGCTGTCATCTGTTTAAGTAAATCAGCCGTGAGGGCCAAAGTGCAAGAACACCATCCACAGAGCAGAACTTAAATTTTACAAAAAAAGGTAGAAAAAGAAAATCAATTTATTTGATCCCCTATTAAGAAATGTATTTGTTATCTCACCAGTTATCATAAAGGGGTACACAGATGGAGAAGATCAGTGGCAACTCTTTACTTTAGCCAGCTTTCAAAACCAGTACATATCCACAGATCTTATAGGTTCAGCCATACTGCATAATATATTTTTTATCAAGAAACCATCTACTGTACTATGTAAGGGCTACCTGTAGAGTTGGTCTACAGCTTTTATATGTATTCAGCAATGTAGCTATGACAGAGAATGGGCTTTTCAGGTCTGTGTATATTTAAATATAGCATCAACCCAGATGGATTATTATCTCAAAAGGCTATGAACATCCTAATACTCCCACTTCCTATTTACCCCACAACATTTTGTCAAGTGAGCTGGGCTGCGGAAAAGTAATTGGTCCAGTGTCACCCAGCCGGCTTTCATGCAGAAAGGAGGCCTAGAACTCACAGCTTCCTGGTTTTCTGGCCCAGCACCTTCACCACAACACCAAAATAAATGATGATATCGACTTGCTCGTTTGTGTTCACAATCGGAAAGGGTTCGATTTCAAGGCATTCTCCAATAAGGGTATCTGAGAGGTTTATGCAAGACCGGTTGACTGACATGCAGATCTATCACCGTGATTGCTACTTACTCTTGAATCGAGATCCTCTGTTCTCAATGGTGAGAGCATCTCGGTAAAATGGTACGCATTTCAGTGGAAAAGAGGCAAAAGGCTGACCTGCCAAATTCATACAGTTGAAGAATTTAAAAAAAAAAAAAGGAGCACGAAGCAGCTTGGCGTACCATTTTGCCTTTCTTTGAGCAGTAGGTTGCACGTATTGACTTAAGTCTCTCTCGCATTAATGTTTAGCTTTTAGAAGAAAAATGCAAAACGCCCTACAACACCTATACACAGCTGGGCGAATAAATCAGACTATGAGAGATTTCCCTGTAGTTTCCGCTTCACGATTAAAACGCTACCTCGGCTGTTTCAGGTAGGTAGTCCTTGCATTTGATGATAGGAATGGAATCTGGCAAATTAAATACCGCGATACATCTATTATACTCTTTAAAAATATCACAACGGCAACTCTCACCTGAAGAGTTGATTGAACGGCACCATTTTTTGGAAGGATCGTACCCTTCCTGGCCCGGAAGTCCTTGGTCCGCCCGGACGCTCTAGCCACGCAATCACTATTCCCTTCCCAAACAGACTGTGGATGTGGGCGTGGATGTAAATCAGAGGCTGGGGAACTATGGCCCCTTTATGACTTGTGGACTTCAACTCCCAGAATTCCTGAGCCAGCCATGTTGGCTCAGGAATTCTGGGAGTTGAAGTCCACAAGTCATAAAAGGCCCTGGACTGTAAATGAATGTTTCTGATCGTCGATAGCGTTTCATGCCGAGGGACGAAAACATGTAGACATACCCGTTTCTCATAACAACTCCAGATTTAAAATGTCTGCCTCTTCATTGTTCAAAGACCTACGATCCTTTTCCTAAGAGCCAAAAGTCTCCTGCTGTTTCTATGACAAGGAAGATTGCCATCGGTGGAGGTTGCCATCGGTTGCCAAAACACCCACTTTAATGCAGCTGATAAAGAGATCTGCAGCCCACAAAGCTTATGTCATTTAATGACACGTGTTAGTCGGAAAAACTGCTATCAGACTCCCCCTAAATTTTGACTGCCACGTCTTTCTCCTCCTACAAAGTACGCTATGGGAGCCCCCCAAAAGCAGCCAATAAGTAGCCAGAGATAACCCGCGCTAAAATTTGGAGTGCTTTCCTTGCATTGCTTGAAGATGATGGGAAGCAGCTCGTGAAGAAACTTGCGGTGAGGCATGAAAAAGAGCAGCTATTGGCTGGATAGATAAAATGCACGTATTAATCTGTAAAGCAGTCTTAATTAAGCAGTTCTTACAGCCACTTGGGGGAAAAAATCCTAACAATTTCAAATGAATCTGTTCAATATGAATGAATTCAAATTTCCACTTGCAGATAGTTTTCTTAAAATTTCGTTTGCACATATAGTTTTATTGATCGATTACGATTATATAACTAAATACAGTTAAAACTGGAGTGTTATTTTATAAACACACCGGTTTTATATAGGCTTATTGGAGCTACAGAATGAATTCACATCTGTTGAAGTCCACAAGGTGTTGCTATTTGATACTTTTCTAAAGCTCTCTTAAAACCTGTGTGTTTTCTGTAATTTTAAATTATTTGTGCTTATATAGTTGGTAATTACTTCAGTTTATTTTTATTTTATTTTTACATACTAGGGAACTTGATGTGATTTTAGAATGAGAATATGGTGAAAATATAATTTGTGGCACTATTAACACTGCTAAACAGTATTTCATTATTACAGAGAAGAATCTCACTAATTTTGTCTAAAGTCTCCACAGGCTGATTTTGAAATAATTATATTTTAAAACATTGTTTAAAAGAAATTTTATTTTCTTTTTCTTCAAAATCCAGGAAGACTATGGAAAAATTGACATGAAAATTATATCATAATTCTCAACCTGATTATTTCTCCCATGTGCAATCTTGATTTTTAAAATCTTATGCCATTTGTTTATAGGATTGTCCAATGCATGGCTTTTTCACCAGAAAAATGAGAAATTACTCCTTCAAGCATCTCAAAGATGCTTTTTTTCCCCAAAAGGCAACTGGATTATGTTTTTTCTTGAGGAAGAAATTTTTTTCCCCTTAAAGAAGATATTTCACTTCTCATCCAGAACTGATGAAACTTCTTGAAGGAAAAGCAAAATGTTGTCTTCAAGGAAAAAAACATTTCTTCCTCAAGAAAACACATAGTCCAGTTGCTTTTTGAAAAAAAACCACATTTGAGTCAATCATGACCTGGAATAGGATAGGATAGGATAGGACAGGACAGGACAGGACAGGACAGGACAGGACCTTGGATCTTCTAGTCCAGCCCCCTGCTTGAGCAGGAGAACCTATACCATTTCAAACAAGTGACTGTCTAGTCTCTTCTTAAAAATCTCCAGTGATGGAGTGCCCACGATTTCTGAAGGCAAGCTGTTCCACTGGTTAATTGTCCTTGTTGTTAGGAAGTTTCTCCTTAATTCCAGGTTGCTTCTCTCTTTGGTCAGTTTCCAACCATTGTTTCTTGTCTTCCCTTCTGGTGCTTTGGAGAATAGTTTGATGCCCTCTTCTTTGTGGCAGCCCCTTAAATTCTGGAATACTGCTATCTTGTTGCCTCTGTTCCTTCTTTTCTTTAGACTAGCCAAACCCAAGTCCTGCAGCCATTCTTCGTATGTTTTAGTCTCCAGGCCTTGGATCATCTTAGTTGCTCTTCTCTGAACTTTTTCCAAGGTCTCAACATTTTTTTTTGTAGTATGGTGACCAAAATTGGTTGCAGTATTCCAGGTGTGGTCTTACTAGGGTTTTATAAAGCGGTACTAATACTTCATATGATCTTGATTCTATGCCTCTGTTTATACAACCCAGGATTGTATTAGCTTTTTTGGCTGCTGCTGCACACTGCTGGCTCATAGTCAAGTGATCATCCACTAGGACTCCAAGGTCCCTCTCACAGTTGCTCTTCTTGAGCCAGGTCTCACCTAATCTGTACTTAAACCTTTGATTTTCCTGTCTAAATGTAAAACTTTGCTTTTCTCCACATTAAAACTCATTTTGTTGGATAGGGCCCATTGTTCCAGTTTGTCAAGATCTTTTTGGATCCTGAGCTTGTCTTCTGGGGTGTTGGCTATTCCTGCCAGTTTGGTATCATCTGCAGATTTGATGTTCCCCTTCTATTCCTTCATTAATGAAGATATTGAAGAGTACTGGGCCTAAGACGGATGACTATCTCCATAGACACCTCCTTCAAGCACTTTGAAATCTCCAAGTGGATACCATTCTACAAAGGAATTATTGAGTCTGTCATTTGCACCTCTATAACTCTGGTTTGGAACTGCAATGAAACAAGACAGACATAAACTTCAACAAATAATTAGAACAGCAGAAAAAAAATTGCTACCAGCCTGCCTTCCATTGAGGACCTTTATACGTCACAAGCAAGAAAGAGGCCTGTAAAAATATCTACAGACCCCCTGGACATAAATTATTTCAACTTCTTCTCTCAAGATGACACTATAGGGCATTACACACCAGAACAACTAGACATAAGGACAGTTTTCTCCTACAGGCCATCACTCTGCTTAGCAACTAATTCCTACAACACTGTCAAACTACTTAGTAAAGCTGCATTACTATGGTACACATCATCTTTCCTATTATCTATCATCTTATGTCTACAACTTTGTTGCTTGTATCTTACAATTTATACTGTTTTTTTAGTATCCTAGTATGATTTATGTTGTTTGCTTAGCTAGTATTCTATGACTATCACTAAGTGTTGCATCATGATTTATGATGAAGTGTTGTATTTTACACTTCTATTCTATTTACAATTCTATTCTATTCTATTCTATTCTAATAATAATAATGATGATAAAGTTGGAAGGGACCTTGGATGTCATCTAGGCCAACCCCCTGTTCAGGCAGGAAACCCTATACCATTTCGGACAAATGGCTGTCTAGTTTCTTCTTGAAAAGTTCCAATGTTGGAGCATTCACCGCTTCTGGAGGCAGGTTGTTCCGCTGGTTAATTGTTCTAACTGTCAGGAAGTTTCTCCTTAGTTCTAGGTTGCTTCTCTCCTTGCTTAGTTTCCACCCGTTGCTTCTTGTCCTGCCTTCAGGCGCTTTGGAAAATAGCTTGACTCCCTCTTTGTGGCAGCCCCTGAGATATTGGAACACTGCCATCATGTCCCCCCTCGTCCTTCTCTTCGTTAAACTAGACATACCTCATTCCAGCAGCCGTTCCTTATATGTTTTCTATGTTCCTTATATGTATGTATGTATGTTCCTTATATGTATTCTATTCTATTCTGTTGACTTAAAAATACATATACAATTTCTAAGGACTTTCCAGCATTTGGGGAAGAGATTAAGGAAATAAGGGACGTGGCCGTATGATATATTGCAGGATTGAGTCAGGAAAAAGGGATATCATGAGAGAAAAGACAGAGTTCAATAGGAGACTTTCAGAAACATTGAAGGTAGTGAAACTGGTTGAACAATGGTTACTGGAAGGGGATGTATTGGGAATGATAAATGGCAAGGTTACGCAAAGTTTTGAAGGATATGTTTATACAGATTCTTTCTAGCTTCTGATCCTTTGAAATGTACCTATTTTTGGAATTGCAGATTGCAATATATGTATCTGAATTTAAGGAAGGAACCAGTTGATTTCTGCTGTTCAGCAGAACAAATTGTCCAAAAGAGAAGTAGCTTATCTACCCAGGAAAAAAGGGGAAAAGATCAGAGAATAGTCCTACATTCAGTGAGGCTCATAGAGATGCTTGACCAGTAGTTTTCACAACTTCGTATAGTATTAGGGGTAAGGATAAACTGGGTTTTTTGTCCTGAAGGAAAACCCAGTGCAAGAAAAAAAAATTGGCTCTCCTAATTTGAATTGTTTTCTTGGCTAGAATTTTAACCTCTACTTGTCTTTCATTTTATATTTTATATAGAACAAAGGACTTTAACTTATTTTTCAGTTATTTTTCAATAGAATTCTTTATTGGCCAAGTGAGATTGGACACACAAGGAATTTGTCTCCGGGGCATAAGATCTCAATGTACATAACAAGCAACAAGTGATAAATCATGATCATAATCATAAAATACATTCACCATAAATCATAAGATGCAACACTCAGTGATAGCCATAGGATACTAAATAAGTATTCAGCATAAATCATACTAGGATACTAAGTAAAACCTTTAATATAAATCGTAAGATAGAAACAACAAAGTTATAGTCATAAGATAAGAAAATAAGTAATAAGAAAGACGAGAAGGATAATAGTAAGACAGCCCTACTAGTTGTTTGACAGTGTTGTGGGTCCTCAATGGAAGGCAGGCTGGTAGCAATTGTTTTTTCATGCAGTTCTAACTATCCGTTGAAGTCTGTGTCTGTCTTGTTTGGTTGCAGTGCCAAACCAGACAGATATAGAGGTGCAGATGACAGAATCAGTAATTCCTTTGTAAAACTGTATCAGCAGCTCCTTGAGCAGTCTGAGTTTTCTGAGTTGGCGCAGGAAGAACA